AAGACTACAAGTATGCCTTTGCTAATGAGTAACAAATACTATGAAACTTCAGTTCAGGATATTCTAATGACTACTTTCAACCACCTAACTTAAAATTGGAATTCATAAATATTTTGTCTAAAGATATTTAATTATAAGGAATAGCTTATTAAAAAATTTATTTTTCAGTCTATAAAAAGCGTTTCTAAAATGAGATATCTTGAATTGAAACTACTGAGTGATATTCGATTCATGGTAATTTTCGTTTGTTTCAGTAATATGTCCTATCACGTATATATGTATCTTAATTAGATTTACATACAATGCATTATTCTGAAAATATTTTGATCTTTACATCATTATAACAACTAGTCACCAATTTCTGTCACATGATACCACAACCAGTGCAAATTATGGAGCCTAATCTTCAGATAATTGTTTCATTCATCATTTGCTGTCATCAAATAAAACAATAAACCTATTTTTTGCTTATTAGAATGCACTGAAAATATGTATATTCTCTTACTATTAATAACAGTACCTGAAGTTGAATTATAATCTGTAAGCTTCAATCAAAAATAGTTAACAGAACAATTTTTCAAATTAATTCTTTGTGATTATTTCTTGTCATAAACTAATATCGATTACGGAACGATTGATAACAGTGGGTTGATGATTAACTATTTCAATCTAACCTGAACTCCTTCATTACTTTTCAAGTTCAGCCGTGTCAAGTGTACACCAACCACTCCTAGTGGCTTTGTACAATAGTTGCACTATGTTGTGGATTGACTAAAGTTAGAATTGGAAACCTTTGAATTACATCTCACTTGTCTGAATTTCGAATGCTCGCCGTGATGTCTAACAGTTCTAGGTTAGGTCCTATGTAGGAATGTGGATACCCACTGTGGAAGAGTTACAAACTAGAATGAAACATCTGTCTACTGCTCCTTGGTTTCCTTTGTTTTACTGGTCAACGTTATTGCAAGAAAGTCAACATTAAAAAGTTTCGCTAGTAATAAGATTGCTTGTCATTAATAATACGGTATTTTATAAGTAGATGTGACATAAACTTTATTAGCATACTGATTTCTACAAATAATAATAATTGCTAACTATAGAAGAAAGATTTATTATTTATTTACCTTCTGTAACTTAACTTTACTCTGATTATAATAAAGTAATTTAAGTCGTGATTAGTGTATTAAGTGTAAACGATTTTCTACCTCTCGATCGATCAAGTTTTTGGTGACACCCAAAGACTGAACTACGACAGAGTTCTTCCATGAAGTTCTACTCCCTGAAGCAGTTAGTGATATTTTCATGTACATTTGATTGTCATCTGACAGCTTGTCTTCTTTTATGTACTTTGTTTCTATAACTAATATTTATTGGTCGAACATGCCATCATCTTAACATATACACTCTGGTCTATGGACTTTATCATTGAGTCATTGTAACCTCTATTACATATCAGGTACATATAAATTATGGCAATTTTCCGGTCATTTTTATTTCTTTTTGGATTTGACAACCTACTACCTGTTCGTTGTAGACATTTTTTATTCAGAAAAATATACCAGTAAAATGTGTTCACATCCTAAAATTACTTTTTTTTCAAAATAAGGATTCCTGGCGTCTTTGATTTCATTCTTAGTGCTCATCAATTACCCTATTACTCTCATGAAAAACTTACAAAGTCAAAAATAGGTTGATTTCTCTCAAGCGTACTTTCTTTAACAAAGTTGTATCTTTCATCTATGCATATAATAATTTCCTAACAAATCACAACTGATTACATCATACTATGAAAACTAATTATTAAAAGCTTAAAAACTGGTCAAAGCAAGTTTTAACATTAATTCAGCACAGATATATTAGCTTAAGGCTACTCAACTCTTTGACATGTTGTAATTTCATTTTTCACATAAAATATAAAAAAATTTGACAAGAAATGTATAGATTAACTAAACTAGAAAATGGATCTAATGATATGTTGTTATAATATGTGTTAAATGTCCTGATGAATAATAAATCTAATATAATTTCAATAGTTGAGATCATGAGTCAGTTGAAGCTAGACCACTATGAAAAACTAATATAATAATATTTAATATAACCTTATCTTGGTTCATTTCTAATTCTTTTCCTGGAAATTTTTCCCTATGGCAATCAGAGTCAAAATAAAATTTGACTTTTAGTTTATATCAATAGGCGGATAAATTTTTCAAATATTCTAGTAAACTAACTCACAACTGAAAAAATGAAAAGTAATATCTTATTCATGTTTTGTTTTTGTCAAATTTATTAACTAAACCAAGTGATTAGTTAATGTTAAACAATATCATGTTGTTCAGTTTTCATTGCTGACTGAATTCTTTTTTTCAGTCCAGTGATTAAATCATATAATCGAATACTGAGATACACCGTATTTCAAGTTAGATTGTTGAAAATAGCTAGTAGTAATTCCTTATAGTTTTAACGGTGAAAATAAGTGATACATGTTAGAATTTATCAGGAAATGTCAATTACTTCAAGAATGTTGGTAAATTTCAACGAATAGGAATCTTAGATCCCTTGCTTCTTGATGATCTCCTCCGACTAACTAACACAATTTAAACAAGATTTCAAAGATGAAAATGTAGTCCTAATGAAGTATATTTTTACAATTAAAAACTTTCCTAACTGTGGGAAAGCTTGATTTCAAGTAGGATGCAATATACAATCTCTGATAAACACGGAGATATTATCATTAATCGAATGAGTAACATTCCCATTGTTGACATTTAGTTCTTTGATGTGGATTACAGTAAACTTCTCACTGACAATATTTTTGGGACCGTAGAACGTTGATTTTCAGAGCGCAGCCTAGTCGGTTAACAACGGCTTGTTTGTAACAAGAATTCAATCTACTGAGTTCTATCCCAAAGGTAATATTACCAAAATAGAAACATATAACTACCTTAAGGAAATCATGTGCATGACGAGAAAAGATATTTGTGCAACACACCACCTAATCATTACTTCATCACCCTGTTAGTTAGTATCAAATTCCTTAGAATGACATTTTCTACTTCAGTCTCAATATTGCCCCATTTGATTATAATGACCTACATAATAACTACTGGTTCTGAAAAAGTAGTGTGGCATTTATTACGGCAACAAGCTAATGTTATTTTGCAACCGTCTACCCCCTTCCCTCACGCACGTTGAAAAAACGAAACTACTAGTGTTCACTTAATCTTTATTTTTAATTATATGATCAGACTAAAAAATTCAACCGGACACTTATACACGTAGAAATCTTATTTAGCGAATATACATTGTGTTAAATACTTTGTTTCTTCCAGAAATAGTACTCAGAATTTTGTTATTATTCGGTCAATAGACACATTTCCCAATTAGTATATTCACCTCAGTTAAATGATGTATACGAGTTGTGATAATAAAACCTACCTTTAAACTAAGTTATTCTTAATAGCAGAAAAATTTGACAGTGTGTTTAACAATTCCCTGTCTCCCAGTACGAAAATGAAAAAACCCTGAAATAGCTGGCATTGTGATCGACTGTTCAAAATATCATCCATTTATCGATGAGCTATCCACTCAAAAAGTTTAAATATCGTGAAGGTTTGATAACCTTAATCATGATTACCAAGAGCTGAGAAGTACAATCGCTTGAGAATAATAATAAGCATAATACTTGTTAAACAAACATGTAACTAGATTTACCTAGTAGCCTAGTGAATAATATTCCTACATTAGAAACGATAATTACTGTATCTAGCTGATTACTAGCCACTATCCAAAATCTTATCGCATGTGAACATTGATTTGAAGCAATAGAAATGTTTGTTCATTAAAGCTGACAATTTGTAAACAATATTCTCCGTCGACATACCATTATTAGTTTCCTTAATTCATGTTCCAGATGGATCAGTATTCCAGGATATTTCTTGTCATAAAATATAATCGATCGAATACCTTTGATCCATTTTACAGTTTTCAGAAGTAATTATTTTCATCATACAAACAGCAATCCTAAAAAATTTGTTCACCACAGACCATGACTTATCAAATTGATCACATCAAAATTAAGAAATGTCGAATCACAAAATTGAATCAAGATTACTTATCACATAAAACATAGCCATCCGCATTTCTACCAAATCCCAAGGTGAATTCAAATCAATGATCAAGTTTGAATTTGATATCCTAAGGTTCTAGTAAGAACCTCTGAGTTTAATCCTAACTACAACTCCCTACAATGGATAGTAGATACCTTATATTATAATACGAATTCAGTCAAAGAATGTTAACAGTAATCTAGTAATGACGTAATCGTCATGAAGCTAAAAGGTTCTAGATTTCATCATTTTTTTGTGCCAAATCAAATTCTGGTTTATTAAATTGTTGTACAATAATAATTGCTCCTGACAACGGAAAAAATTATAATTAGGACATTCAATTTTTCCAACAAGCAGTTTACCATTTATCCAGTATAATTACTTTGTTTGAACTAATGAAATACACTTTTTACATTATATATTAATGAAAATCTCCGAATAACATGGCTCTGTTAGTCCTAGATATATAAATTCTTTATGAGTGAATATTTAGGAGCAACTTAGGACATTCAATGGACAACTTAAATTTGGATAGTTGAACATATGCTTTATAGAGGAGTTATACTCAAATCTTTATACATTACAAAATCTTCATTGTAATAATTTAAGTTGACACTCAAATCGACAGCATTTTAACCACCCATAATTCACAATACAACTGTTAGAGTTGCTGATGGTTGATCCAGCTATTTCACTTATTATTTCTCACATAAAAATTCACAACCTATTATTTCTCAACCCAATACCTCTGCGCAGTGCTGCAATAGTTTAATTCTAAAATACACTGTTCGTCAGTTTTTGACGAAATATGAAACGAAATCCAGTCAACTGAAATATCTAAATCTGATAGTTATATCATCATCAGCAGCAGCAGCATCACGCTGAGGCAACATTAATGAGATTAGATGTATTTAAGCGAACATATTTTAAAGCAGAAAATAGTCTCATATTTTTTATACAAACAATGAATAGGGGAAAGGTAATCTATACAGTAATGGAGAAAAATTATTTATAAAAATGTACAAATATTCAATATTCACATAAATGAGGTTAAACTGAAAAGGATGGAAAAGCAAGAGAAACCAATACAAATAAGTAGAAGTATTCTATAAACAAATGCGATTATAAACTGGGTCATATGATACATATATGAATTATCATATTCAAATGAATAATAAACTAGTCTAATTTGTCTGGAGATTCTAGTAAATAAGAGGGGGAATAAACAAGTGAACAAAACTGTTATGTAATAACAACAGTAATAATAATACTCATAAACTTTGAAAATTTTATCTAACTTTATAATCTCTGATATGGGACAATGATTGAATCAACAAAATTTAAGCATTAAAAATTAAAAGGAATAATCTATTTTTATGTAGATATCTATAAATTTACGTTTTGTGGTATACGTTTATGTTTATACGTTCAATTAATTAAAGTATCACAGAAAGGGGGGAGAGATTCCAAGTATACATTCACTTTGAATGATCTGAGGGGTTGAATGAGCAATCAACGCCAAAAATACACATTAAACACAATGAAAAGAATCATCTTTATGTATAGACTGCTGTTTGCTCTTATACAATGAAATAGAAATTACAAAGTGAAAAAAGGAATTCAACTGAAATATTCTGTGAACTCAAATACAAAAGAAAAATGTAAATCAATGATATTCTGTTTATCTGCAGTTTCACCAATAATGCTGGTTAGTAATAATGAGAATAATAATTAGGCATTAAATAATATAACTTTTTCAGTTACTCTTGAGGAAGGCATGACACATCTATCGCCATTATTAATAGAAGTAGTACCATTAGCGGTAGTATTCGTTGAGTTCCGTTTACAATTAACAATGATAGTTCGTTCACATTCACTTTTCTTAATCTGTTGATGTTGCTGTAATTCCTCCATTTCAGCAATGGATCCGTATACCCAATCGATGAATTGACGACGACAAGTTTCAGATGGCATACTTAAACTAATTACAGGGCCATTAGAATTACACAGTTGAACTCCGTATCGATAATCTGATTGTATTAACAATAATAATAAAAAATGAGATGGACAAGCATTCGATAAAATTTAATGAATATGCAAATTTATATCAAATAATGTGCATATTTTCGAGTATTATACTAATAATTCCGTTTATCAAGGGTAGTTTAAATTAATAGCTAGTGAATTATAGTAGAGATACATAGTTGTTGCTTAGACTAACTGCATCTTTAAATAAGAATAACGGTAGTAAGAATTTTGACACTTTAAAATGATACATAAACCGGTGAAAATTAATATCACCGGAATTTTATTGGTATCAGAAAATGTGAAATTCAACATACGAATATCACGTCATCCATTCTTTTATCTTAAACACAGTTTCGCAACGGGGGAAAATGCATGGGGTTTAGATTCGGAGTTAATTTTCACAAATATGACCTTTCCCTGTTAATTTATTTCATTTCCTTATAAATAAACATGATTTTCTTCTACCCCCACCTACCACAGAAAGTGGGACGTTTTTTCCGGCATTTTTTACCCCAATGATTATAAATATATTTCCAATATTATCATTGTAACAAATATTTTTATAAACACTCTATTGTAAGAACTTAGCAGGGAGTCTTTTAAGGCAGAGAAACATTGTTTGCAGTATTTTGCAACTTAATTTGCGTGCATAACCAATAATTAGGTTGAGAGGGGGGGACTGAGGCTTGTGACAAGCAGGGAATATGACGAAATCGAAACAAATATATTTAAGGAAACATGCTATCAAACCAAATGTGCCTTTACAAACTCGCACGCAATTCGCTTTACCAGGCCTATAATAAGTTTATCAGGGTGAATTATTAACAGATAACAATTCGCCGTAAGCTCTTACGTATATAGCTGAATAGTATCGTTTGGTACGAATCACCTTAGTTCAAGCACCAAAGCATCTATGATCATAATTTCTTTAATCTATACAAGATATTATTCGCTCGATCAAGATAACCATAGGTATTACCGGAGAGGCGTTACACAACTTTTCATCCATCTAAAAGCACACTGAAAAATGAATGTGTGATCCTTTGTGACCGTCATTTAATATGCAATCATTATTCGATTGTTTTTCTGTAGTCATGATGTGTTCTATAAAACTTCTGTAAAATATTAAGCTCACAAATCCTATTACTTTGATGTATTATGCAGCACAGTATATATTCTAGAGTCATTTTAAACTAGTATTATATCATCACATTATGTTGGAATTATCGGAACAATTAGGTAAATAATAAAGCATACTTACAATTCGATTCAAAGACCAACACTCGAAGATCAAGGAATGGATAAACATTTCGAACTTGAAAAGTTGTATCACCAGGAAATGGTTCAGTTGAACAGAACACCTTTTGTGTTACATCTTGAACCGGGCCGAAAGGACTACAACTACCGTCATCTCTAGATACGGAATTCCTTGGTGTATAATGACGAGTAGCGTTTTGGTCTCCAAAAGCAACTGCTGCGACAGAATTTATAAGGGAACCAGATCGTAAACGGGTTGTATTCAACGATTTAACAACCACCAATATATCATTAAATATTAACACGTGGCGCCATCGAGCATTATTTCTACCTGGTAATTTTCGCGGAGCAATTTTTTCAATTTCTTGGGTCAGAATCCTGCCAATGAAACGACGATGTCGTTGTACAAAGTTGTCTGTTTTCAAAGGACCAACCAAAACTCCATCCAAAGCACGAAGTTTATCTGATGGATCTGGTAGTGTCTTAAACTCGGAAGCAGCTATACGATCATAAATACCTTCCAGTAAATCTGCAGGCACATCATGATCAGAATCAATTCCACGATTATTGTTAATAAAGCCTTGTTTAGTCATCCGTTTGCCCAACTTTCCAACATTAGGATTATGAAGATCTGTGTGTAACAAAAGCACTGAATATGCTAAGACTTCCACTGTTTCAGGACTATGAAAATTTTTCCGGACACGATCTGAATTTTGAATAATATATACTTCATGAAATATTCGCATTAGATAAGCAATTTTTTGAGATTCACCCTGAAACAAAAAATATAGAATTGTTAAGAACAGTACAATCACCGAAATTTATAAAAGATCAACTATGTTTAGTGAATTTCATCGATATCATGAACCTATCTAAGTTAAACCACTATTGGAAGACTGGAAACACTATACGAATGTTTCGTCCCAGCGTCGGACTCCTCATTGACATCCATTCAAGATACCGCATCCAGAAGTCGGACACAAGAACTTTGGACTTAAGACCAACTTCCATCAAACCAACCGATTTAGTGAAATCAAACAATCTCCACAACCACACACAATCCATTTAATAAATTGGATGATTAGTATAAAAATGATAACTGATAAACTTCAAAATAATGTTAAATTAAAACTAATCACTGATTACTCAATATTTATTTAAATTCATGAAGACTTACTGAAGGATGAAAATGTCCGATAACTGAACGCAAGGCAACATCCACCTCCATATTCTTCATATTGATCAGCAATAAGAATTCCCTGTGAAAATTAATTAATTAAAAATGTTATTAAACCAGATGGAATTCTAAAATGAAAGTTAAAATTGCAAAAGTTCTACGCACATAATACAAGCGAAAGCATTCATACTGACTATTATTGTTAAAACTCACTTTAAAACTTTCGTTGCCAATGTGTTATCAAGTAGACCAAAGTACTCTCCAATAGCTTGGCGATTGAGATTTGGTTCATGGAATAAGAATTGAGCAATTTTAATGGGATCAGATAATAAAATATAATTTCTAATAAGGTAATTGAGTCCTTCGACTGGGTTCCTGTGTTTAATTTAAAAAAATTATTTTAAGAAATCACATTTGGAACAAATATATATATATATATATATAACGAAGATCTGTGAACGTTTCCGTTTTCACTGTAATATAGTTGTTTAACCTGTAACGCAACGATAGAGATACAAAGGTAGGGATCTCTGCTGTGCTTTGGAACTCATAAAATGATGCATGTGTATCACCTGATAAAGGTGTCTAAGATTTGTTCACACAACCATGCACACTGTGACCCTGTTTCGAGCTCCTCATGGACTGCTAATGACCTAGAGTCCGTGAGAAACAGGAGGGTAAAGACCGGGTTGGCAACTCGGTCGCATAAAAATCGGGCTACATTACTGACAAAATATACTATTTAATAAAGTTACTCACCTATTGAATAAAGTGCAACCCGCCAATAAAGTACGTTTATTATTCGCTCGTTTCATAGACTGACGTAAAGTAGTTGCCCAACTTGCCGATGATGATCCTACTAGATTTCTATGTTCCCTTAAATCTCCACTTTGAGTTTCCACATCTGCACCTTGAAATGTAGTACTTAGCTGTGATGAAAGACCTGAATCTTGATCACTTGATTTATTCAATTCTGAATACATATTCGTCATCGAGGATCGTGTGGTTGATTTGTAGATCACAGGTCCTGAGGAAGTAGAATTAAGAAATTCTGAAGGAATAGGTAGTCTATGCCGACGTTTCATTGTCGGAGTATAGAATGTACTCATCAGGGATTTGTGAGATCCAGTACTCTTGCCAACAGATTGACTCATGCTCGTGAAATCCGAAACAATCGAACTGATACTTGAATAAGTACTGTTTTGGTTTTGAGAACACGGACCATCGATACCAGTAGGTGGGATGATAAACCAAGGTTCATCTGCTTCACTCACACATTTTTCAGAACCAAAGGCGTTTTTATGAACAGATTTAGTTTCATTGATTTTAAAATCTTCTACATTGTTACTCTTCAAAACAATAACTTTCTCATTAGTTTCATCTCCAGAATCACGATGGTTACAGTTACTTGTATGATCAACGCCATGTGATAGAAAGTTCCCGGGTGTCTTACTTTCCTGAGATTTCGATGTTCTAAAATCAGTGAAAATAGAGTAAGCATGAATGATTTTGAACACGTAAATTAATCGATCGACCAAAAAACAGTTGTATTGGAATTTTGTTAGGTTATGAGCAATATTTTCTGGATCATAGGGCATGAAAGACAAAAAGTATTAACAAAGACTCCATATGTTTTTAATATGAATTCTAGTTTATGGGAGAAATTTTACACCAGCTGCTCAAATACTTGAGTTGTCTGAGTCATTCATTAAGGCTTTGTCCGTTAAATCTACCATGCGTATGTGCGTGTGTGAGAGGATAAAATTATGCACGTGGAAATCTATTTATATATCATGCCCATATAAAACACATATGGTCATCTCTCCCTCCACCCTAAATGTCTCTGTTTTCATCCAAACTGTCTGACCCTCTGATCTGGAAACAGGGTGGTGGGGTGAAAGATATATTCATCGTTATGAATACTTAATCTTGTGAGGCATACCACCTTTCACAAAGATCTTGTATACACGTGTACACAGAAACGATTTTTAGTTTTTTATCATCGAAATTCCCATATAACGTAGGTAGTTTATTTCGGATCTGAGCTTTTTATATCTGATCCACTTATGCCTCAGCTTAGACACAGCTATAAATGAGTCATGAAATTTGTATCACACTCACGACCTTGAAGTTTTTGATTAAATAAAACTCAGCGGATATGAAAAGAGAGAAAGGTAGTTTCAAAAAAGAAATTGCGAAAAGAACAGAATTATCCTATCATCTAGATACTTAAATGTACTTAAATGTAAAATTTATCTTTAAAGGGAGCTGAATAGTTGATATCCTTTGTATTGAAAATTTCTACTAGCGAATTATCAGGAGAACGAAAGTTTAAATACAAAAATAGTCAGTTGATAAAATGGCTGACACATAATGCACACTATACATTTATTAAATTAAACTTGGTTAAAGTTTCAGACTAAAGTAGAAAAATTCCTCAAAAGAAATTCTTTACAAAATAACAGACCAACAGAGGTCATTAACGCGTGAATTTAGATTGACTTAATTATACCACATCAAATTATTTAAAAGTAAATTATCATAGAAATTTATCATTCTGTTTTGACCTAACACACAAACGTAATAAAAAAACTCAAGTTTGATTAACTAGTTAGCACTAACCGAATATCAGAAATATAAAGAGATAACTCACATAATAGGATGATTTGAAATACATCTATGTCTCAATAGACTGCGACGGGATTTAAAAACTTTAGCATAAGGTGTAATTGTCTGCTGGGTAATTTGATTATACAAACATTCTGGTTGCGTTTTTTCAGGTATTGATGACCTGTTAGTGATAACTGGTGCTGCACAATCAGTTGTTAGGGATCTATGAGGTAATGATCTTCGTGGATGTTTAACATTCTTTTCAAACCATCTTGTAAGACTGCTTTTACGTTTAGTACAAGTGGTTGTTTGGTTTGATTCAATTACGTTAGATAAATCTGAGGAAACTGTAATTCTTTTATCAACTTGATCAGTATTCGTATCAACCATTCCATCAGCTGGTTGTACATGTTGGTCGATATGTAATGGTGATCGGTCTCGATAATTTAGTATAGACCTCCGTCTTTTCCACTGGTTAAAATCAAATTGAGGATTAATATTCTTCTCTGATTTATTCATAATATCGGATACTGGATGTTCAGCGGGAAGAAAAGTTGTACTAAATCGTTTTACAAATCTTGTTAATTTTGAAGAAGGAACATCTGATTTATAGTCTACTCGTGGTGCCGGTTGATTTAGAGTTTCAGGACATATGACAGGATTTAAGTTCTGATTGATATTTACGTCAAGTTTAGCAGCTAGAACACGTTGTGGTGTTTGGCGTATAGATGTTAATCTCATTCGTGGTCTTGGTCTATTTGTTTTAAGTGGCCGTAAAGCATTCAATAATACCGGCGGTGAAGAATCCATTATTTTTAAAATGTTTAATATAAAAGTAATTGTGCTTTAAACTGCATACAAGTTAATCGGATATGAAATTTATTCAACTAGACCGATTACCCTTTTAATACGCTTTCTAAACTAAAATAAACCAACCAATCAAATACCTAGGGATTTTTTATTGCTATTAACCAATCAGGATTCAGTAAAGCAAAAACATGTCCACGCGATAATTTTACTCGTGGTTATAAGATCAATAAAAAACAACAACAATAGGTCAAAAAATAGATTATTAAATATACTGATCTAATGAGCATAACATGAAATTTGATTTGTCAGCTTCATACTTTAGCAGTTAGGTTTACGGTTTATTATTTTATATGTAATTATTTTTACAATGATTAACTTTATTGTCAAAGCAAAGAATAAATGGATCTTCATAAAAGCTTCTAGCAGCAATGAGATGAATAAATAAATAAAAATTTTCTCAATATAATATAAATAAAATCTGTAAGATCCCTATGAGTGTATTTATAAATGTATAAGCGGAATTATTGAAAATCCCCATTTTTTAGGATAAATAAGTTTACATTTTTCGTTAAATTATTCATATTAAACTATGCATTAAATAAAGTAAGGATTTCTGAAATTATCTGGGATTATTTAATAGAAGACAGAAAGAGGATATATCGATTTTCTATCAACGTACACAAACCTCCAAGACTTAGAATAAAATCTTTCGTTCCCACCTTGCTTTTCATGTTATTTTAAAGATAGCGACTATGACACTTATGAATAGACTGCATGCTTATCAAATGTCTACAGCTGTGTTTGATATTAGTTGGTAAGACCTATTCAGCAGTATGTCATATGCATAAGCTGCTTCCTGGTTGACACTCCTTAGTAAGACTCGTCTGTAGTCAAGATGGAATTGATGAATCAAACGGGATTCACATCCGCGTTACTAAACTTCACGGTCAGAGAAGTTATTGTGGTATACTCACCAATCCTCATGAAATTTACGCCTAAATAAAGACCCAAAACCATCATCCAAACAGTTGGATGTGTACAAGACATTGAAATGAAATACCATTATTTTTTTCTATGTATGTATTAAGAATATGAATCAATGAAGTGAATGAATTAGTGAACATACACATGTACATAGAAAATAGAGGAGTGAGAAATTTATTTATGTAATTATTTCTATATTCACTCAAAAAGGTATCTGTTTTAATGGTATTAATAATAATAATTAACTTGTCTTATAAATGTAATAAAAATGTCCAACTTCTAGTTTCCGGACACATTTATGAGCTTTTTCACGAGGTCAACTAATAAATGTGTGTGTATGTAAGACAGAAGTATAGGCGAGATTCATACGCATTTAAACGCATGGAATGTGAAAATGAGGTCATTCAATGATTTAACTTAATGCAGACAGAGATGAATGAGATGAATTTCAATGAATGAACTGCACCAACACCATTACTTTTGACAAGTAATTTTATGTTTTTAAAAAAAAATTGATTTAATAACATTAAAAAGATCATAGACGAAATGGACATCCGAAATGAAAGACATAATAGAATATCTCTCTTGATTAAGCATCTATTTAGTTAAATTTACAGTAAATTAACTAATTAAGTAACATAAAGCTTACTTCATAAATTGAATAGAAAAAATGTGCTTCTTTTTTTATTAATGTGGATTTGTACGTGATAAAAAGCTGAAAACAATCTTAGTAATTAATGATATAATGATATTTATACAAGTTTGACGGTTTTATTTAGGAAAGAAAGATTGTAATACATTGAACTATTTAGTAAGTGTTTTTCTTAATGAGGTTTTAATTTGAAAGATTGTTCTAGTGAACCCAATATTTTTTGTTCATTAAGATATTTAAATGATGAGAGAACTCGGTTGAAAAAGAAATTAAAAATGAAGAGAAGAATTTCAAAAAATTAGATGTTAATATAGTTGAGAGTAATATTAAGTAGAAAATGAATCTGAGTTAAATAGCTTCCAGAATGTTAAACTCGTATTATGCTAAATAAATCATGTGACTGTTCACCAGTGCCCATCCACAACCACACTAGGAATCAAACAAAGGAACTTCAGATTCTGAGGTGTGTATTTAATCTATAGATCACTGAATCAATACCCATTGGTTTAAACGTTTAACTTCAATCTACCACCACTACCATTGATGAGCAACTGCTTGAAATCAGGTATGAATTGGATAAGTACTGATATGGAGTTGTATATTAAGATAAAATAGCTGCTCAATGCTTTAATAATGTGATATAAATTAACTGCGTTATCGTCCTGCACCTTCAAATATGAAACGTTGTTTAGTAATTTAAAATTAATCAACCATCAACTGGCCTAAAATTCCAAGTACGAAATATCTATTATTTCAAAGTCACTTTGAATTTTTTCTTTGTGAAGACCCAGAAAGTTTAAGTGAACTTTTCTAGAAAAATGGTTGAAATCTATAGAATGGTTATGTAGACATTTTTATTCAATAATAAATATCTATACTATTAATCAATTAATTAGTTAATTAACTAATAATCAATTTATTTGAAAATTCCTATTAAATGTTCTAACAAAGAACTGTATTGATTGAATTCCTCCTTCTGTCTCTACGGTCATAAACTTGAAATATACTAAATTACATTTTTATAATCATTAAAAAAAGATACATACAATATTTGATTGAACTGACTCGTGTTATAAAAGAATCACTAAAGTTAAAAGGATAAATAAATGGATATATAGAATAATTCCAAAGTTATACGTAAAAGGTAATTTTATAAATGCCCACATGTGTGTGACGGCCGAATAGTAACTAAAATAAATGTTGTATATGATTTATTTGTAATCAAGTTATTTATAGAAAAATGATATGTTAATTCTTCAAGAGCAAAAAATATGTCATATGACCTAATCATTTTGTAGAAATTCTGTGTCTCTGGGAGATTTCGTAATAATAATACAACCTAAACTTTTAAGCTTTCATAAATAATCATCTTGTTGAACTGAAGTACTAGGAGAGAAATTAAAGTCATCACTGGTGCATTACAATTTGACCACGTGAATCAGTTGGTTATAGCTCCATGTAGGTTATTGTTACTTTTTCAAGTTACATAAATAGATTTCCAATAAAAAATGGTTCTAGCTAGGAACTATAAGTCCACACTTAATCTATTATTGATATGTAGGTTGTATTAGTCACAGATTAATCTCACATAGGATACCACTGAGAACCACAGAGCCATAAATAGCTGTTTCGTCCTAGTATGGGACTCCTCAGAGACGTACATTCAAGTATCCTGAGAAATACTTCACCATTAAAAGTATCGGTCGATATCTAAAGGTGCAATTCTAACTTAAATCAATCTATGATGTAGTATAATGACCATCCAATGTCATAAGTGACAATTCTTTCATTCCTGATACATCTAAACTCTACCAGTTATGATTTTTAACTAGAACTTCAGAAACATCTTGAAGTAAGTCACTATTAAGCTGATTATTGTACTATAACTATTATATATTTTAAAATAAATCTATTAATCAGTGTCTATCAATAATCATTTTAATGAGTGATAAAGTTATTTTCAATTGAATTATATCAGTAAAAATTATCCATCAGGAAAAATAAATATTATTACATAATAATAAATATGTTTATGCTTTTAATCAATTGCGTATTGATCTTGACAATATTATAAATACTGTTAATAATATTGTCGTAAGAATAAACATTAAAAGATCTTCAAATCAAACCTGATTAATGTTCATATCTAATATGAATCCATTTCTTGGGGGGGGGGAACATATTAACATTATAGTTAAAGAAACAAACTATACTAATGACTTGTTTATAATGATAAGTATATAGACAAACGAACATACTCAAGTATAATATGAATGATTACACATAGAAATCCATATCAATAAAATGTTTACATTATGTTTTTACAGTTCCGGTTAATTTAATTAATAAAATAAATATACAAAGTAAATAAATCACAATGCGGGTAATTTGTTCCATATAAATGAACACGAGTATTCAATGTATGTCACTTGTGTATATATTGATTTGTATTACGGAATGAACAGACTTATTAGTATAGACATTCTATATGACGTAATAGTTAAATGAGATTTTTTTAAATATGACATTTGTTTAGATCATATCTCACACATAAAAAATAAAAAAAAGGAAACATAAATATGAGTTATTATGAGTATTTGAATAGTCATCGTTATAATTTCTGTATAGTTGATTGTTTTTAATACCGTTTCATAATTATGAATAAAGCTCAATTTAGATGATGGTCAAATTTCATGAAAAACATTTTTTTCCATGGTTATCTGTATTCTTTGTTAGATAAATTGAAAAATTTAAAAGTTTAGGTGTTCTGGAGATTGTTAAGTTATTAGGACGAAACGGCCGTCCAGTGATTCCAGGTTTTTCATGATGACCTAGCTTCAAGTGACTCATGATTTCAATCAAAAACTTAACACAACACCTAAACTGATGGTTACCATGTGCTCACTAGTGACTAGCTTCGTGAGAAAATTCTCGGAGTTCTGGTGAGAAGCCGTGACTAGTGGAGCTAATCCTTGTCGGGTAGAAACAGGTGTCTACCTCAGTAGAATGGAAGATGGTCGCGCACTTTCATGGATTGGTTGAGGTTAGACATTAACACCGTTGGATGCCGGCTCAGTGGTCTAATGGTTAAGCGCCTGGCATGAGACTGATAGGTTCTGGGTTTGAATTTCGCGGGGTGCGGGATCATGAATGCGCACTGCTGAGGAGTCCCATACTAGGACGAAACGGTCGTCCAGTGCTTGCAGGTTTTCCATGGTGTTCTAGCTTCAAATGACTCATGATTTCAATGAAAAATTTAACTTTAAACCATGTTTCTAATCTATTTCCATTACTGAACATCAAGTAACTCTGTGATAGAGAACAGAAGAAAATGTAATTGAAATGAATTTTATCTTGCTAGTTTCTTGTATTGAATACTTAAATAATAATAATAATCAGCTGAAAATAGATGAGATAATTAGGCAGTTTGTAATT